CCCCCCCCCCAGTTCTTGTTTCCTACCCCTCTATCATCACCGAAGATAAATGCATAACTTTATAACAGTTTCTCACGAGGGTACATTGAAGTGAAAGAGCCAAGAGATGACAAAAGCAAAGACCATACAAGCTAGCAAGAAATTCAGGAACCGGTGACCCTGCCAGAAGTTCCGGCTCTCTGCTGTCTGCACAGGGGCAGCTGCTGAAGTGGCCATTGCAGTATCATTTGTTTCACTCCACTGCTCCACCAACTCAGCTTCAGTCACACCCGCTACATTACGTGCAGTTGATCCACAGATCTCGCAGGTCCTGCAATTGTATACGTGGTATGAAGTTAAGCAATAATAACATAAACCCGAATATGCAAATGTTACCCTAAAGAAGCATGTCATAAGCAACTCATTTGTTTTTGTCAAAGTGCTGCAGGTTAATCAATCTGAACTAAAATCAATTTGATACTATTTGATATAATATATTTCCTATTTTCGAAGATAAGATAGAAGAAAGTAGGTAGATAGAGCCCCCAGCCAATCAGCATCCCAACTGGTTTTTACGGTGAGAAGCCATTCTCCGTCTAGTATAAGAAGGTTTAGATTAGAAGTTGTCAAATTTCTTATGCCACAACTAGCAATCTGACGTCCATAGTGGGTTCAAAGTCTATGAATAGATCAAATGGAACCACCAGTAAGTACAGTGTGGTGAAAAAAACTCGTCTCCCCTGCTCAATCCATATAAGTTGCTCACCAAAATTAGATATGGAGTGAAATTTCTAAAAAATGAAAAAAATAATCACTGATCACAAGAAGGGAAGATTATTTGCAGCTTCTTAAAGGGCTATTAATGAATTAAGGAAGCTTATTTACAGGAGTACAAGGGCACCGGGCAACTTAAAGGCTTGGTCTTAAGGGAAGGAAGGAAGGTAAAAAGAGAAAAAGAAAAAGTCAACCTTAGGAAACCTTCAAACACAAAGAAGAAATTCAATACTAGGTTAATGGTTTCAGAACAGAATATGCAACAGAACCCTGGGAATAGCTTGAGGAAAATAAAGGAATATAAACATATTTACTTGGAAGCAATGGACATAATCATGAATTTTTTTCCAAAATAGCTTGTGCAAACATTTATATTCACAAATAAAACAGAAAAAGGAAAATGTCTAAATAAAAAATAGCCAGAGTTTTGATGTGTGCATAAACTCTAGCATAATGACCCCTGAGATGCATAAAGATGTTAATGACATGATTGTTTCCTCATACTTGATCATGTAATGGATTCTACCAAAACCATATAAACCTACAAAATTGATCGAATAAGCATTTGGTGAATGAAAATGAAGAATTTTTCCTCTCACCTATGTAATAGAAGGGAAAATACTGAGCATTCCCCAATGACATGCCAACTAAGACCCAGGCAATTGAACTACAAGTTTCCAATTTATTTGTGGTGTCTCTGACAGGACAACCCACTCATAAGACTGCATCTCACGACACTACGAGCCCGGAAGTTGGAAAGTTCATAGAGTATGTCCATACCAGGAAAATGAAACTAGGTAAAAGCACTTGACTTCCTCAAAACATCCATCATGAAGATAAATGTGCGTGGAAAACATAGATACATGTTTATTAAAAGTTTACTGAATAGAGTCAAAGTGATTTCAGTCAACATCTCATATGAGAAGAATCTGCAAGAACCAAATTATTTGACTTCAATAAAGCACACATCGCCAACCAGCATGTCTAAGTGGAAAGGTAGAAAAAGAGTCGGAAAGCATGAGAGAAATGCAACGTGTATGTGTTCTAGCAAGACAAGAATAATTTGCACAGTTGGAATTCCATGCAAAAGTGCTGGTGCTTCATCTTTTGCTTTATTAAGGTTGATGCTGTTGATTTACACTAATATGCTTTTCCTTTACTCTTCTAAAGCTGTACAGGTTTTATTCTAATTTTATTTTGCATTAAGTAGGACAACTTTGTCTGCAAAATCTCCCCAAATAATATTCGTAACACCTTGAGATGGAAAACTATTTCCATCATTTCACAATCTTCAGAAGAACAACATAACAATTAATCTGGCATTTTGGTTATGAATTATGATCACATCACCATATCATTTTACTCCTGAAATTGCTACTAAAAAAAAATTGGGTGTCAAAATGCTAAACACAAATTTAACACTGTAATCAAGTTCCATGAACCAAAAATCCATATATGCAAAAACCCAACATCTGGGTAGTTCCGAAACAAAGAAAGATATCATCTTTATTAGTTAGTTGGATAAACTTACTTGTTACCCTTGATTTTGAACCAAGCCTCAGCACACTGCTTGTGGGCAGCAGCCAAATCAGCCTTACAAGAACAGCCCAACTCAATAGGAATCCCAGATTCATGATTAGTTGCATCCATGCTCAGATGACAAATCCTACAGTCCCTCTCCACCTTTGCCACGTGCATCTTAACCTCAGCTACCTCACATTCCAGATCCACTGAACTCTCTGACACAGAGGATTCCCTCTCCACAATCTCAGACGAAGACTCACTTGAACACCTCTCCTCCTCGTCTGATCGGTCTGAGTTGGCGTCGAACCTCCGGCGGTGACCCCCGTCTTCTTCTTCCACATCAACAAGAACGTGGGGTTTGTCTATGGCTGCCATTTCCAAGAGCCAGAGAGAGAATCTTCATGTAATGGCTCTGTGAGGCCGAGATCATAAATGCCCACAAAGGTTGAAGAAGCTCTTGTCACTTCTTTCAACCTTGGTAAGCAGCACAGCTTAAACTAGTAGGAGCAGTTTTCTTAGATTTTGAGCAACTGGATACTGTGCTGATAGGTGATCTCTCCCTCGTGATCTCTCCCTCTCTCTCTCTCTCTCTCCTACTTGGTGTGTCAGTGCCCCCTGAACATCAATTTGAGGAGGGAAAAAGATCAATAAAGATATTTATATATATATAGAATAATTGTAAATACACACACTAAAACAATATTTGCAGTGAGCAGGTGAAACATATAAGCTTAGTTTTGTGTCCCCCCAAACCAAAGGACCTTTGACCCCGCTCTGATTTTTGGGGTTAAACTAACCAGATTAGTGTGTCTTATAGTGATCAATTGACATTGCAAATTCAATTTGGCTTTTTGGTTAGACAAGTGATAAGCGAGATTAGTGTGCAAATTTTGTTAATTTCTTGGGGGGGTCATTATGGGCTGCTTGCTTAATCATTATAGCTGAGAAGAAAGAAGGTGATGACAGTGGATGAGGTTTTTGGGAGAAAAAAGTGATTGAGGTGACTAAAAAAAACTGTTCTCTTTTCTACAGAGCACAGAAAATGTATGTATCAAAAGCAGATTTCTCCTTGTCTTCTTCACTGCTGCCTTCCGTTTTTTTCTTTCCCTTGTTTCTTTTATCATCTACGTCTGCTTCAATTGCGTAACTGACATGAAGACCCCAGTCTTTTGTTTTCTGCGGCCAGTCCACTTTAACTAGTGGAAAGTCATGGTTGCCCATGCTCTTTCTTTCAAATCATCGGTTATGAGAAGGGTAGTTTTGACTTTTGGAATATTATATGTGGTGTAACAGTAGGGTAGGACATGGATTTCATTGTGATTAATTTAAGCAAAGAGGTGGGTACGGGCCATACTAACAGCTGTTCCATCATTATGCATGATTATTCGAGGCAATCTCAAGTTGTGCTTTCTTCTTTTTTTACCTTATGTTTCGGCAACATCCTAAATCAAGCTTTTAGTCAAAACGTAAAATATGGTGACTGACAACGAAGCAGCAGCGGCAGCAGCAACAGTAATTTTTAATTTTTCTTAATTTTATAATGCATTGGAAAGGAACCAATAAAAGTTAAAACCCCCGATATAATATAATATTATTGTCTTCAAAAACTGGTCTTCTAAATTGGATTGGTGGGGTTTGGCTCAAGCTTGAAGCTTGTTTTGAGCCCAAGATCGAACTCTGATCAGCTTATTCAGCCCGTAACTGAAGGGTTTGGCCCATTTTTCACAGGCCATAGACCAGGCAGCTCGTAGCCCGGTTTTCCCCCCCATTATCTGGTGTATTAAAAAAGGTTGAAGAAGTGAAATGGGAAAAAGAGCACTAAATATATCTTCATGTATGTATGCATGCCTAAAGAAAAGGCCTCTTAATTTTTAAAATGAGACAGCCAGAAATTAAGTCTTCTAAATGTGACTTGGAGACTTTAACTTAAAATGCTGTGAAAACAACCTGTTCCTTTATATTACATATATTATACTGCCATAATTTAATACCCCAAAAATAAGGAACACCAGCCATGAGTTCTAGCTTAATCCCTCAACTTCAGTTGGCATTGCGAAAGTTTGTCTAGGCACCTGGGTTGATAGCACTTCTGTCATCATTCCCATCAACTTGTTACGTCCTTCCTCATAGCGCATTTGGTCATTCGTCGAGTTGTGTACTGATAATCCCATTTGCGAGGTAGTAGTAGCCCCTTGAGAGACTCTCTGGCTTGCAGCATTCTCTGTTATCCTGGTCCCATTATTCTCAAGGCCACTCTTAATCCACGCAATCTTGTTCAAATCTGTTGCGATGGAGATTAATTCATGGCTAGAGAAAGAGGGAGGCTCGTCATACTCGACAAACTCAGGCCCCAATAGCGAGCTTCGAGAATGCCCCTCGCTCAAATCACAGCAACCGTGGCCACAACGCAGAGGAACCATAGGCTCATTACAAACACCTTCATGGAAGTTGCCGAAGCCAAAATCTAGTTTACAAGTTTGGCCCAAAGGACCATGACTTGGGACTATCCTTGAAAATGTAGAGGTATTTGCTGGACCACTCGGATGGTCATAAACACTAAAAGCACTAACACGTGCCACTGGACGACAAAGGGATGACTGCTCTTTTGATTCGCCAAGAAGAGTAGGATGGCCTCTTGATCCGGCAAGAACAGTAGAATGGTAGTTTGATTCTGCAGCACCACAACCCTCCTTTGCTTGAACTATTTCATCTAACTGGTCCAGTCTATTGTCCATCAAGACCTCTCTTCCTTCAGGAGTATTGAATGAACTGATATTCCCAACTGACAGGGTTTCTTCTGAAGATGCCTTTGTTCTGTCAAAGCTGGCATCTTCCATCATATCAGGTTCCGGTTTGAATTTGCCTCTATCAATGCACTTGCGCCTTAGTGTAGAATTCCAGTGATTCTTGATTGCATTATCTGTTCTACCTGGAAGGAGCCTTGCAATTGCTGCCCATTTGTTACCATGGATAGCATGGGCTGAAACTATAATATGATCTTCTTCTTCTGCAGTAAAGAGAGTTACACAGGAAAGACTTCAGAAAAAGAAAATAAGTGTGCAACAGTGGATGGAAGAGTATCCTACTATCATTTTCATTTAGCCTCTTTCTCTTTGTGTCATGGCAACAAAACCAAACCAAGCAAAAACAAGACCATGGAGTTTTCAAGTACAAAACTTTCAGCTATTTCATTCACTAAACTGACTGATTCAATGTCAATATTTTAGAAAAAGAGAAGAGGGACAAGGGCATTATGGATGGAAGAAATAAAACAGAACCTCAATCATCAAGAACCAACAAGATGCTAAATCTCAATGCCTCTCTCAAACAACAAAAATTGAAGTTAACCCACATACATTTATCTTACTTCTCCATTGTAATGCTACATTTTGTGCAGTAAAGATAAAAACAAGCACACAGGAACCACAGTACAAATGAAAAAATGCACTAAACTCACTTACCACATTATATTCATCAATCCCATCTCCCTTCCTGTGCTACTTAAAACCATCTCTAAGTTTCTAAAAACTTTGTACTTGTACTTCGATTAAAACATTAAGCATTTCCACAAATGCAAGTAACTACAAACCGATAAGCTAGTTTATAAACAGTTCGAAACCATTCCGAAATTGCAAGTTGCAAATTTGTATACAACATACATTTAATGGTAGTTGATTGCAAAGCAAGCAGGACGAAACACTCAGGTAAATTTCCACTTGATTTTGATTAATCATCCCAATTCAAAACTCTGTAACTGTATCTCCATCAAAGATATTCAAATACAAACAAAATCGACAAATAACGAACAACAAAACCCAAACCAATATTCCAAACACAAATAAACATATGCATAAAGAGCAAAGCTTAGAGCGATAATGGTGGTGGTGATTAAATTACCAGAGAAGGGTTTGCGCTTGACGCAGGGGTCGAGCTGATTACACCATCGGAGCCGGCACGACTTCCCAGAGCGACCGGGAATTCCTCGGGCGATCAGGCTCCAATTCCTCGCCCCGAACTTGCTGACCAGCCGACTCAGCACCGCGTCCTCCTCGGGCGACCACGGGCCCCTGACTTTCCCGCTCGACAGCGCGCCCTCGTTCAACTCGGTGGCGTCGCCGAGTTCGATCAACTCGGCCTCGGTGCCGCGGACGAGTTCGGACTCGGCAGGGCGGTCGTCACCTTGTTTGGGGACGGCGTCGTTTGGGACTGTCATGGGGAGGGAGGGGGTTGTTGGTTGGTTAGGGGTTCGGTTGGTTGTTTTTACGCGCAGCAGAGCAGCAAACAAAAAACAAGAGTCTTCAAAATCAAAAGTTCCAACCCAGCAAACCTCCCATTTTAACTGCAAATGGGAAAGCGATTAATGTGGGACTGGGCTTTATTACGAGCGTTTCGGATACCGGTTTTGTACGGCGGTTTTTTTTTAATGACGGACGTGTCCTTGAAAAACGTCGACGTCTCGTGGTTCCAAAACTTTGGAACTTGACTTGTTTTGACTTGGTTGACTCTGGCTGGGCTTTTCACTTTCTCAAGGGAGGAGGCAATTACTAGACGACGGCTTGGTTGTTGTCGTAGATCCTACATATATATATATATATATATATATATATATGTTATGGGCAATTTAAGCGTGACCGCTTTTGGTAGGTTGATGAATGAAAACCGTTTCTCACCAGTTACCTTCATCTAAACTTTTTTTTTTTTTTTTTTGGTTTGTAAAATCAGAAACTTCATCAAAACTTAGGGGTTCACAATAATTTTGTAAGCACTGAAAATGTTGAGATTGTTTTGACACTGTTTGAGAAGCATTTCTTCTCATGGTTTCAGTAAAAGTGCTTTTGAAAAGTTCAAAGCCATAATAATATCAATCAACCCTTCCAAAGGCACTTTAAAAAAGGCCCATCTTGAGCGAAAGTATGGGTTCTTCCAGGTAGTCTAGCTTGTGACAGGCCACGAACATTTGGCTGCTTGGAAAATGGAATATGAGAAAGCCCATATACTCACAGAAATCTAAATCCAGAAACAGAAGCAGAAGGTAAAAAGATTTTAGAAACTCAATGAGAGGCTTAGAGGGTAAGTGGGTAAGTGTTTACATTTCATGAAGTGACAATCCTACCCACTCCCTATATTCTAGTTAGTCACTAGTCAGTTGAGTTTATTCCTTTTCAAAATAATGGAGAGAGAGAGAGAGAGAGAGAGAGGAAATTTTGGTTAGGTTTTAGGTGAGAAGGTTCTTTCAGATGATTTAGAGTAAATAATAATGGCCATGTGGGCTCTCTTTCTAGATGTCTTAAGTTGTAGACTTCTGGAGGAGGACGTTATATTCTTGTTGATGTAAAATGTCTCTGTTACACTAAAGACTCAAAGTCTTTGCAGTCTTGAGGTAAGCGTGTATAAGCTGCAGCCTTCTTATATATTCTGCCCTACCTCCACAAAGAAAGAAAAAAATAAATCAAATATCTGTTTCTGATGTGTGTTGAGGTATTAACGTGTGTATTATTATTAGAAAAACAAAAATTGACCTCCTTAAAACCAATGAGGAGCTCGTCTTCAAAATAAATGGTGCTTTGACACTTATCAAGTAGATGAATTATTGCAATTAAATCTTAGTCATAAGTCCACACCTCCCCTTTGATTACTTGTCAACACGACCAAACATCGCAAACTTCATATGAGATATATATATATAAAATCTCATCTCATTTTATATGATCTCATCGTATTCAAGTGATCCATCTTTCTTATTATCTACAGTTTCCCAAATTATATACACTTTTTTTAACCCTACCAACTAACCTTTGCAACCTTTTTCAACCTTCATAATTGTTTAGTGTCCCTTCTAGAAATTATTTTACTTATTGGGTTTAAGATTCTGAAAAATGTATGCGCGTAGCCGTTTGGAAGAACTGATGTAAGTCATATTGACATTAACTTTGGACCCATTCAAGCCTTTTTAGATATCTATGCTTCATTATTTTTTGCCTTTTGTCTTTTGGCCTCAGTGTAACATTCTTTCCACATGTATATCCCTAATTTTGCCCCCTCCCCAAGAAGTCAAACGGCACCAAAAATTCCAAAATCGATGTAGACATGGGAAGGTTCTATAGGATTTTGTTTTTTCAAACCCTTAAATTGACTAGGCTTGTTTGGATTTGCCCTTCTCGCAAGGAGCAAGCCCTTCAATAAGTATATGTGACTCTCTCTCTGCCTCTCTAACAACTACAACCAAATAAACCAGCTCAGAAAACAAATCCCTCAAAGTTGAAAACCACACCACACCACCATGTTCAGCCCTTTCAGCTGTGCCACTTTCCACCACCAAGAAGTTGATGAAGATGATGACCAACCCATGGTTTCACCACCAAGAAAATCTTCAAGATCAAGAAGCACTGGCTTTCACAGAAGACATAGCAGGGACACCAAGAACCCGTATTCAAGCCGGGGCCTTGACAAGTTCTCTGCACTTGTAGCTGATCTTGAGGAGAAAAGACAGAAGATTTACGCTCAACCGGATTCAAAAGACATAAGCTTCGTCCGCTTTGTGTACAAGGACTCGACTGATACAAGTCTTCCTGTTCCAGTCGTGGTTAAGCTCAGGGACAAAAAGGAAGACAAAACCAAGACTCTAACTGATCACGAAGAAAAGCATGCAACCCCTAATAATGATCCTTCGTCCTTAGCCGTGAAAGAGGTCAAGCCGCCACCAAAATTGGAACCTGAAAAACAGAGTGAGCAGAGGACATTGTGGTGTTGGAACATGAAATCGGACAAGTGGAGAAGGCCAGCTTCTTATCTGCCACTGGTTATAATCTTCATTTTGGTTTTGTTGGCTTTGTTTGGGCGGTCATTTGCAATATTATGCACGTCTGTTTGTTGGTACGCAATTCCAATGCTGAAAGAGAGCTCAAATAATGCAACAACGGGAGCAAAGAAGAACGACTATGTTAGAAGATTGAGTGACAAGGAACTCATGTCATCTCCGAAAAGTAACCACAGATTCTCGGGCAAACATGTTCACCAAAAAAGTTTGTGACATGAAATTAATTTGTCTGGTGATTCAGTTATGCCGAGAAGCTGGATCCACCATAAATTGGATTCGATTCTGCATTAAGCTTTATTGTAAATGTGGTCGTTTGTTTACCAGTCAAAAACAATGTTGTAGAACAATTCAAGTCAAATTCAGATAATCATTAATGATTTTTATTGACCAAGGTAGCAATTTTTAATAAGCAAGTGACCAAGTTATTTTGGACACATGTAGGGAGTCAAGGGTAGGCAAAAACCCAGTCAACCTTAACCAATCCAACCCATTTGGGTTGGTTTGAACACTGAAAATATATTGAGGAAACCAACCCAACCCATTTGTTTTCTGTTGGGGTGAGCCAGGCCCATATTGGACCCAAGTTGGGTCCATGCACCAGGCCCATAATTTAAATGAGCTCTTGGCCCATTATCTTGTTTCGTTTTAATATGTTGCTCACATGCAACATCAATCATGAGTCATTCTATAGTGATGACCTTATATATAACTCTTAGTTGAAATCCTATCTCTTGACCGTTGGATCATGCTAACTAATTTGATTCAATGACTAATCAATTTATTCTAACGATAGAGATAAGACCTCACCTAAGGGCCATATATAAGGCCTTCACTATAAAATTCTTGCATCAATTAGTGTCTTTCGTTTGAAAAACTTGTGACATTTATATTTTAACATATTTATATTAATAGATTTTTTCTTATGCGGACATCCACACATTATTACCATGCAGATGCCATGTATTTTTTACTATTCCTTCATACTTTCATCTATGTTTACAACATCTGCACAATAATAACGTATGTACGTCTGCATAGCATAGGAGAAGAAGTGTTTATATTAATTAGTAGCTAAAAGTTCTTACACCTTGGTCATGCATGTGTTAAAATAATAAAAGATTTGTTCCATTCCATGTGGTCAATCCCATATTGGGTGCCAACTTTGGCAATGAAAGAAGAGCATCTATTCGATTGCCACTAGACTCATCACATGGACCCTCTTTCGGCCACGACACTGATTTTACAATTAAAAATCTTGCTTTACCTATTTTTGTTGCAACCCTTTTTACATATGGAAAGAAACAGAAGCATATATTTTTCTCAAAGCTAGAGAGAAGAACAAAAGGCAAAGCATGCAACATCAATGGCCGAAGCAAGTGAACAGTAAAATCTGAGTCACGTCAAAGGAGATGGAGCACCAGAAATTCCAGCCCTCTAAATCCTCGTCACGAATTCGTTTGCGGGGCATCTGTGTCTGCCTAGAAAAAGGTCATTATTCGGAGATATATATATATCTTTGGTCTTTGGAGATGCATGCACATGCTTTTGATGCATACATATATATATATATATATATATATATATATATGTATGCATCAAAAGCATGTGCATGCATCTCCAAAGACCAAAGATATATATATATCTCCGAATAATGACCTTTTTCTAGGCAGACACAGATGCCCCGCAAACGAATTCGTGACGAGGATTTAGAGGGCTGGAATTTCTGGTGCTCCATCTCCTTTGACGTGACTCAGATTTTACTGTTCACCCTCATGACGCTATGTGATGGTGGAGAACAATTATGTGAATCTGAGTGGATTTAACTTTTTTTTTAGGTGAGACCCAAGGGTATCCACCGCCGACAGTAGTGACTAATCCCTTTCGCCGCGGGAAGTGGATTTAACTTTTGATCTAAACAATACAATACAAAATAATGTCCTAATTAATTGAGAATTTTATCAAACCAAGAGTGAAGGCAATATAGGTCCTTACAACTCTTATATCCCACACATAAATCCACCTACAATTAAACCTCTAACTAAAACCCAAATTTGAAATATGTTGCCATGTAAGATATATAGATATATGTCCAAGTATTATTAACTAAATTACACTATATGTCATTTACCCTTATATTTTGACTCCTTGATTTGTTATTTCTAGCATAGCAATATTCATCAAATCCCTAAAATTTAGACAAAAACAAATCCATAAATTATTTTATAACAGATTAATCCTACAAATTTTCCACTCAGTTAATAAAGTTAACTTAAAGGAACGTGATTTATATATATTTTTTTAAAAAGGTAGATTATTCACTAAAAAAATTGGTATGTAGATTATAGGTAGATTATTCATAAGAAATAGGTACATTAGTTTATGCTAAAAACGTGATATAGGTATGTTAAATGTTTTTTCATAGATTCAATAGGCCCATAACGTGACTTACTTAAACTTACCCTAAAATTTTCCTAAATTTAAGCCAATTTAAAACACCATTTGATGTTTTAGTTTCTAATCAAATGTAATCATTTCCTAGCATTAATAATGAGTACTAATATATCATCGTCTCATTTCAACATCAAAAAAATACTATTCGAATATTAATGACAATTGAATAGCATCAAATATGTTCAAAGTATATTCAGAACACTCAACGGAGAAAACAACAATTGCATAGACGTGGGGGTATTTTGGTCATCTAAAAATTATAATAAATCAGATCTTGAACGTGATAAAATAACTTGATGAATTGGATCATAGTCATGAGTTTTTATTTATAAAAAAATGGGTTTTATTAATAGGAACAAAAAGTGATGGGTTACAGTTAAGGAAAATTCAAACCAAATTTTCTATTTTTTTGTTTGTTTATTATCTGTGTACATCAGAAGATATTTATACACTCATTTTTTCCACAACAGCTGCAGTCTGCAGATGAGGAGACTCTATACATCAAACACCATAATATCAGGTCGAACTTTTTAATTTAGCACAGAAGAAGGTATTGCAGAAAAATGAGAAGCATGCTAAACACATTAAGATGAGCGAACGGGATCCAATGTGTGACAGCTAGCTAGAGCTAGAGTAAAGAGCCAGCCACTCCAAAGTTTGAAATTCATCACGTCCGTTCTCAGCAGCCAGCAAAATAAATTAATTCTAATAATGAAATTTATATAATCGTCTGCATGTGAGGGTCCAAAACCCTAATTCCTTACCAGACGCTGTCTCTAGGAAATCGAAGTCCCACAGAAACCAGATTGAAAGCGCTATTGACTTTGATGCCAAACAAGTTGGGTCAGGGGCAGGGGGGGCGTGGGGCATGGATGGTGTCCTAAGCACTGATTGATCTGTCCTTTATGTTAAAGACCCTCCTAACCTAATTCAATCCATGTGACATTCAAAATCCATGTGGAGAGAGCTAGAGACTGTAGCTATGGCTATCGTCAGAAAACAAACAAACAGGTGTGTGTACGTCTGAAAATTAAACCCAATTATATTCTAGCTAGCTACCTGCTACATAGCTGTAGCATGACGAAGGAATATATATATATATTTTGAAATTCAAATTCCATAGTCCTGTGGAACCCTAGCAAGCTATGTATAGCCTTTCAGATGGGATTCAGATGAGCAGCATTTAAATTTTGGTTTAACTTTTTTTTGTTTCTGGGTGTTGGATCATGTCGTGTTTGCAGAAATTAGGTTAAAGAATTTGAGACTACATCATCAAATCATATATTTGTTGCGCACCAACTCAGCTTTTGTCACGTGGAATGGAATGCCAGTTGATTTTTCTAGCTTTCTAATAATAATACAAGACAATAATCTTAGGGGCAGCATATACTGGTAATTCAGAAGGGGAAAGTTAGAAAACCTTTTTTGATCTACAGTACCCAGACCACATGTCTTGATCTATGTTCTTGTCCTTGAGCATTCATACAAGTTGATGGATGGGAATGCAGAATTTTTTTCTCATCTTGGGTATTCATAATGGTGCCAATGCTTGTGGTCCAAACCTCCCACATCCAACAAATAGTATAAATTGAATGTAGGACCACCCCAAGAGATGATTTTAAATAACTCCAATTAAAGTTCATATATGTATGTATATTGAAAATAGGACAAGCAAAAGCTCAGTTCTTCCTCATTATAATTGAAAAACTTTTACTTAAGATGAAAGCCTTCTGACGGTTAACATGAAAATAGAAATCCATTCATCTAGATATATATATACATATATATGTCGTTTTCTTATTCTTATTTCTCTTTTTTAATATACAGACAATAGATAGTGGAAATTACTCTAGTCTATATAAAAGGAAATTCGAACTTGAGTGCAAGAGGACGGACTCTCCTTGATGACCAACTGCCCTAACCACATATATATATATATATATATGCCCTATCATGATGATGTTAGCACCTAGTAAACTTAGAACCCAAAATTCCCATGAAATGAATCTAATTCAACAAGAAAACAAAAAAAGTGAGTGGAAGATGTTGGCACTAAGTGGGAGATGAAGACATGAAACATTATATAGGGCAGCAACATGCCAAATACCAATTGGCAGCTGGCTTTCATTCAAGGTCCTGGTGCTCCAACAGAGTTACAATGCCTGAGAGAAAATAATTTATGTGTTGCTGTAATAAGGGACATCTGTCGTCGGAGGTGAACCAAACCCTATTTTGAAATCACATCAGACAGTATAAGCCAACCACACAAATTACCCACCACTACACATTATGTGCGGGGAAGGTAAATATGTGTGCATGGTGGTAGGGTCTTGAGAGCACCATGGACAAAGCCTGCTCTGTGGCTGTGGTCCATCCATGCTTCATCAGTGTGGACAAGATCTAGCACCATCCATCATGATCTTGGAGTGGTCAACTAAGCAATCCTGATGTGGCCCCTTACGCTTTGAACGGCTGAGATGACTTCTCGAGAAGCAGCACCATGTTTTAGCAAGCACTAGAATGATGTTAGTTTCCCCTTTCAGGTATGTATTGGACCCTATTTGGACGGTGAAGTAATGACAAGTCATTGGTATGGAACCAGTTTCTTACTTTCTCGTTAGGAACTATCAACTAACAAGAAATGGGGAGTTTTTAAAAGGTTGCCAGTTTCAGGAAAAAGGTAAAATCCAATACTCACAAACACATATGTTGTTTGCTGTTGACCAAAATAAAATAAAATAAACACACACACACACATATTATATTAATATTATGCAAAATTCAATATCCGACTTCATTTACTTCTCTCATCTTTTTACTTTTTTTTATTTTTTATCCAACATAATTTACTTATTATTTAAAATGATACCCTATTTTGTGGTGAGTGCGCGGCTGGGAAACTAATCATGTTGGTAAGATTGATACCCTATTTTTGTGGTGCCTATCCATGTGCATGTGCATCATTTATAGATAGCTCTTAATAGTAATGGTCCTCCTCCCCTTTGGTGTACGAAGGAAATAAAAGAAAAATGAATAGTCCACCGTCAATTAGGTCTGGTCTAGTCTAGTCTAGTGAAAAAATTACCTTAATTTATGAATCAGTGGTCTCATGTTCAAATCTCCATAACACCTTGACGTTGGCGGTGTGTGTGGACAAAAAAAAAAAAGAGAAGAAGAATAGGCCGACTTCCCTTTTTGCTTTTATAATCTCATTTCCTTTTTGGTAGGTAAATGTTCCTTTTTAATTGGTACTAGATAGAAAGAAAGTCGATTGGACTAGATTTTCCAACCTCTGAGTAAAACGACGTAACTTCTCCTCTTTGTTGTAAACATTGTAGCTATTTTCAAGATGAAAGGCTAGGCAGACAGATCGAATTTGTCCGTCTAATGAAACTGATGGATTATTTGCTAGTTTATTGAATTGCATTTGACAATTAAAACAAAGATGTGGAGTGTGGACCTTGATTAATTATATATCTTGATGAAGAAGAAGACTATTAACCACATAATTAATTTAATGTTATGAAATTTCTAAATTACTTGTGGACCCCACTAGCTAATACGTATTAATTTCAGATTCAATCATAGGGTCCTATCGTTGACAGATATTTGGAATATATATTAGATATTAATTAATAATAAATTAATGAGAATGTAATACTCTGTGAAAGAAAGCTATATATATAAGGAGAGTTTGGTGTGAGAAGGAACATGGTTGGACCACAGACCTTGATTTAGATGAGGAGAATATATGAGAAATAAAACTACAAATTTAATACTATTGTACCAACTTGTTGACACAAAATTTATAACCTTTTTCCATATGTCTGGTTTATTTGAGAATGGGGTCTACAATTATATAAATATCTTTCGAAATTCAACATTTCCTCATGATTAATTTCATAAATAAATATATAACAATGAATAGTAACATGGAAGATGAAGAGGTTATAAAAAAAAAGAGAGAGAGAGAGAGAAGTAATGGTCATTGTTACAGCACTCACTCCCTCTTCTCCCCCCTTATATTGAAGGCTCCCTCAAACTCCACTTTCCTCTCCACGAGAGAGAGAGAGAGAGAGAGAGAGAGAGTTTTGAAGGAAGAAATTAGTGTTGCGTTGGTTTCATATATACTGCAACTAGAGGAAGCATCCAAAGGGATCGCATTGATCCCAACTAGCCATCTCTTCCATGGTTTAATTTGGATCATGCTATCCCTTTGGATATCTCCTTTGGCAGCTTCAAACTTTTAGATATATATATATATATATCATGCGCATCAACAACTATAGATAATCAAGGAGTTCATCCGATTGACTCCGCGATTTCTTGCCTTTGAGGTAATTCAAACTTACCTATATGTATTCTATGCATGATTAATCTCTTGTTTCCAGACATACCTGTTTTCTTTTCTGTTTTTCGTTTTAGCTTTCAAAACTCATATTTTCATCAAGAACCAACATTTGAATGTTTTCATTAACTTTGCCTCAAATATTCCAGTCTAGCTATGGCTTTTTGCTTGGCAAGAACATGAAGGAAAAAAAAAAACATGCACCTCAAACATTCAAGTCTAGTTGGGTTTGTAAACTGATTTGTGTTGTCCTTGAGCTAGTAATTTTAATTTGAAGGTACGTATATACTTTGATAGTGGTAAATTCATGTTGATGCAATCTCTTATTGTGATATATGTTTAAGATTCCTTAAGTTGTGATAAATTCATGTAATTTTAGGTATATGAACACGTTGGATCTGATTTCCATGGGGATGCATCTGGGCGCTCAAACCCAGAAATCTTAATCTCCTTCTTTACAGTTGTAATGGATGTTAATTTTATTTGCATACAGTGTGTGAGTGTGAGTGTGAGTGTGTTTGCGCTTGTAAACAACGATAGGTTAAAACTTAAAACCCAACCAAGGAAATTAATAATAGATTACATATCTATGGTGAAGATATACGAATGTTAAATTCTGCAGTCAGTATCTATTTTCTCAAGCAACATATATGCAGGTGGCTTTGATTAAACCAGAAGGATCTTTTGCAACTTTTTTACTCAAACACCTGTATAAAGCGAAACATAAAAGAAGGTTGCATATTAAAAATTTGTAGTAAAATTTTGATGTTCGTGTTCATGAGTCATGATTAACAGATAATTAGTGGAAGCTAGCTAGCTAGCTAGGTGAACATTGCAACTAAAACAGTGCCATATGATAATAATTTCTACATGTGTCTTGGGTTACAATTTACCCCATTTTCTGAAACTTTTGATGATTGCCTGCGTCTCAACAATTTGATCATTTTCAATTTTTTGACCTTCTGTAAAGGTAACTTTATTATAGAAATAGTATGAGACTAATTACCTCTGTATTTAGCATCGGTGGGAGAGGCTCGGGATCCATTTTCAATTAGCATGAACCAAGTTTTGCTGACTCTATTTTATGCTTGTCGCAACAGAACAGACTAGCTAACATGGCCACACATTGCTATGGCCCAAAGTCAAGTCTCCAAATCACATGCTTTTGAAGACTTTAATTAGAATCCAAGGCAGTGGAAGATGAGATATATATATATAAACTTAGAGAGACTTCCTTTTTTTCTCCCACTCTGGGCCTCACATTGAGTGTACCGAAGGCAAAGGCAAAGGCAAAGGCATCATACACATGTGATGAGACCTTAATTAAGAAAAAGTCCTTTTAATTAGCCGTTGATCTCATTTGAAATAAAGGGTCATTTTGTTATACCTCATACATATGCCACATGACCCCAACATTCTAACACTCTCCTTTTGTCACATGGCCACGACCTTCCACCATCTCACTTTCCTTAATTAATTAATATTAATTGAGTAAATGTACTTAAAATACGCGTGCGTCGATTACATACATTTCTCTCACACACATGTATGTAGAATTTACGATTAAATTGTTAATTTTACCCTGTGTAAATTGTAATGAGCCTCACGTTGAGTTTTGTCAATGATGCAGAAAAGCATAAAAGAATTCCATCATTGCAGAAGCTTCCTAAATCTAAGCAAAGTTAGGGAAAATCAGCAAATTTCTACTAGAATATTGCGTGGTCTACGCTGTGATTATTGATCATCATTATGTTAGTCAATAGTAAAATGAATAGGGTGATCAATATTCAAATCAAATGGGCTCATGGGGTCCAAGCAGAGGAAGAATTGTTGGGGCACCAGGAGTGCATGCACAAATTATCTTCAATTGTAAGATATGTACCCCAATTGTCTCCCTCTATCACTACACAAAGCTTTGTCAAGGACACAAACTGCCAAAAGAAAACCAGAGTGCATGAATTTTTCTTTGCAATTGATCAGAAAGGAATTGGATGCTCCTTGCTCTGCAGACTGCAGAGGGGCCCAAAACGCTTGATTTGCCTCCAAATTCAAACCCATTCACTCCAATTTCTTCCATCGCTTTTCTCTTTTTAATATTGCGCTTTGCGAGACACAATTTTCAGCCATGTATTGGGGATCTGCAGGATTTTATTTGATTTTTTTTCCTCATTATTTGGGGAATTTGATTGAGATGTGTATAAAGTTGACCATTGCCTTGAGTTGTTATCAAACTTCCATCTTTTTTAGGGAAGACAATGGAAATTTTTATTTATATTATGTTATATTCTCCCTTTTATAAAAAAGAAAAAAAAGAAAAAAAGAAGAAGTTATATTCTTATCAGGAGAAACCGAACCTATTCTTATATTCTTGTAAATCAATTCAAAATATAATCCATCTAGAAACTAGCCTATTCTCTCCCAAAAAACACTCTAGAGCCGTTTTCACTTTGAGATGGGAGGAAGCCACTGTTCTTTCTCCATTCTCCTCTCTTTCCCCATTTTCGCAGACAAAAAGTTTCAACTCTTTTTCTTTATTTTGTTATGATTTTCCTCTACTCATCACAAGCAGATGCATCTCGGCGTCGGATCTTCACCTGCGTTTCATTATTAGATCTCTACCACCATCCTTTTTGCAATTTCTTCATGTTTGGAATACGTCCCAAAGACTTTTTAGGTTTTTTATGTAGTTTTTACCTCTTTTGTGAGAGTTTTATTTGCATAGTTATGGTTTGGGTTTTTCAAAGTTCATATTTTTTTGGTAAAGTCTGCGATCTTAGTTAAGATGCCTATGCTAGAGTTTCTTCGATTCTATATGATTGTTAGTGGAGGCGCACCATATTATTTTAATTTTGATGTTAGATCGCTCCGTTATTGTAATTTCCCTTCGTGATTAGTGGTTCTTTTTGTGGCTAAATTATGAATGCAATTTCTAAATTTCTAAATTTTTTAAAAAAAAACATTAGGGTGAAATTGACCAGACAAAAACCAATGGTCATAACTTTTGACTCGTGCTTTTTGAAATATCAGGGTGTGGAAGCGATACGACGTCGTTACTCCTATATTTGTTGCGAATTCTTTGTTTCTTACTATTTTTGGGCAAAGGAAAATGGGAAATGCATACCATATATAGAAAAATGGTTTTCTTGATGAGATAAATAGGGAAATGGTGAATCCGCTTTGATTCGGGAAGTGGACGAAGACTCGGTTTCTGCAAATATCATGGCGAAATTCCCCATTTTCAGCTGCAATTTCCCCTTGATTTTCCTCCTGTCTTCGTTCTATTTCCTGACCCTACAACCCATTTCGTCTTCCTCACTCAAATCCCTAAACAACAACCCCAACTTTGATTCCGAAATTGCTCTCTTCGGCGACGCCGAGACCGTAGACGCTGGCTCCTATGTCAACATTACCCGGCCATCGGTCTCAAGCTCCGGTCTTCTACTCCGCCAAAAGCCCTTCAAATTTCTCGATGCCAATCTGAGCAGCCCGACGTCGTTTTCCACGGAATTCACCTTCTCGCTGACGCCTGGCAGTGGCGACGGCCTTTTACTGGTTTTGGCTCCCAAAGATTTTGGGTCCACATTCTCGGGTAAGGGCCCGTTTGGGCTTAACGGTGAGAATCGATTTCTGGGTATTGAATTTGACACCGAAATGAATGGAAATGTAAACGATTTAAATGCCAATCATATAGGGGTCGATGTGGGTAGCTTTGTATCTCTCACTGTTGGTAATGTTTCTTCATTGAATTTAGAGCTTAACAGTGGAGAAAAGTTGAAATCTTGGATTGATTATGTTGCTAGTTCGAAAAGATTGGAAATTAGGCTAAGTAAATTGGGTGAACCAAGGCCTTACAATCCGATTACGGCATACGGAATTGATTTGTTGGCAATGTGGAAAAATGAGGATGTGTATGTAGGTATTAGCTCTTCGAATTCGAATGGCAATTCGTCGCAGATTAGCAGTGTGTATTCTTGGTCATTTAGGCTAAGAAACATTCCAAATTCAATGCATTCTCTTCCGGTGAATCCAAGGGGATATTTGGATGAGCATGGTGAGCATTTGAGTGTGCATAAGCAGCGTGTATGTCCATTGACAGTTCTTGCTGGGATGATTTTCGTGACTGGTTGTGGAGCGTTGGTGGCTTTTGTGGTGCTGTTTTTGTGGGCTATTATCATTAGTAGGCACACGGTGTTCCCTGCTGAGTTTCCTGTGAAGCCTGTGGATTTCAGGTATGAGAAGATCAATGTAGTTGTAGAGAAGGATGCCGATAGTGTCAAGAAGCAGAGCATATAAAGGTGCCACCTTTTGCTTTGAATGTGTGTTGCTAATGTTTTTGCAAGTTGTAACGAACAAATGTGATGAATTTTGTTGTTATGGTTGTGCATTTAGATAGTCAGCCTTGATCAATCAACTCTGATGATTAAATATGTCTTGTATATATATGGCTCTGTCTTTTTCAGGCACTATATGTAGCTCAATTTTGTGCAATGTAGCGTGAAAATTTTATTATTTGCATTACCAGTTTGAAAGGCTATATTGTTTCTGTAGTAGATTTTATGTGATTGTCCTCTCATAAGGAAGTTATCGCAGTAGAAGAAGGAACACAAGTAACAAGCCGCTGATTTTTGTTTTTCCTTTTTAGCTGAAGGGTGCTTTGTTGTCAACTTTTGTAGAACCTCATTCAAGAAATGAAATAGAGAGTTAACAAAATGTTCGATAAGGTAGGCTAGGTATTGATTCAAGCATGGCCCCGTCTCACCTTCCCCTTCTTCACCTTAGTCTAATTAGCATTATGGGCAGAGTTCATGGGAACTTCCTCAGCATTACCCTTAGCTTGTTGTAAGACATTTTCATTGTCGATAGCCATGCTACATTCTACTTTCAAATCGACACATTAATTTGAATGACATAGCTTTGCTCCCCATTGTATGGTTCCATTAATAAAGAATTTGAAGTTTCTGTTCATGTCAATGTGATGTATTGTTGTCAGTATCTGTTTGCTGGTTAAAACATTGGACAATTTGGATTTTTGAAACCTTGGGGAAGAAGATATTATGAGCCTCTTTAAAAACCATGCCAAATTGGTTTAGTGGCATGGTGTAGGGTACCCTCTCTGACTCTGGGATTGAGTTTTCTGCAACAATGCTGTTCTTGATGAATGCTAGACTGGATGTCTTGGTCTGGCAAGTCAGGGGCCATTTTATATTCCAAGTAGGCTTACGAAACTGAGAGGATTGTTGTTGGCTCTGGGCCTCTCATCGGCTAGATATGGATCTGCTTCAATCAATATGTAGTTAGTATGAATTGTGTAAGCACACTTGGGACTTGATATGATATGACGGACTTTATGTGTAGAAAGCTTTTAGAGAAAGTGCATTAAGACATCTTCTTTTCTAATTCCTTATCATAGAGAACCAAAAATATCATAGCTTTGAAGCAATATCATCACTTTATCAGTCACCAAAACCTAATAAATAAGTGGAAAATGAAATTATAAAAGCAGCCTTATCAAGGCACCAAGTTTTAGTGGTAGCAAATAAAAGAAAGAAAGATAGATGCCTAATAACAGCCCTAGTGGGTTTCAGTGCGACGTCTTTTCTTTATATTGCCCAATCCTACACAAAAGATCTGGGAATCCATGATTATGGATTTGCTCTGAAAGTATTCTCATGGTCACTAACCCACTGTTATTATCTGTCATTTTCAGTCAAAAAGATAGTTTAATAAAATAAAAACCCACCATTACACTTGCTTTGAGAGACTGTATCAATCTAATCATTGTGAATAACGACATTCAATTATTTTTATGTTGTTTTTCTAGAAGCATATTCGGAACAGGCATAACCTCGAAGTGTAAAGATTACAAGTCACTTGCACATGCATTTTATTAATGTAAAACAAATATATCACAAACTGTATAAAAATTCCTAAAGTGTCACATGAGTGGCATATTATTCTCACTCATTAGTCTAAAACGCACCGTACAATTATTTGAAGGTGCTTTGAAGCATATGCATTCTTGCATTTGCATTGAGTGTTTTCTATATCTATAGAAAAGTAGCAACTTTTTGTGTCTTTAAGTATGAAGGTAAGATTCGAACCTGTGCAAAGAATTATCACTAGAGTTGTTATAATACCGACTCTTATTCTTTTACCGTATTGTTCTACTATGATCTTGCATGGATGCATGTATGAAAATAAGTACGGCTATGCACACAGTACCCCCCATCAGTTCCGGAATCCTACAAGTGCGATGCGAGACAGAGGTCCGGCCACCAGCAACCATGGCGTGACGCCGCCCTGTTTTCTCATGTAGACAGAGATATGCCGACCGGTAATGGTAGAAGTTTCAATTTTTACCATACAATTCATGTTTCATGATGTTGCAAAACTTTTGGCGTCTTCCCCAGCTAACCAAATTAAGGAAACATGATTGAGTGATCTCCTATGCGGAACAAATTGGAATAAATTAAGGAATAATTAAACACATCAACAATATCAAAAAAGTCGGTGGGTTGGTGGCCCATCAATTTTAAGATATTAAGATATTGTGAACAAACAAAAATAAAAATCTTAGAGAGATTCTTCCTAAAATGACCGTGAAATCAGTTTAATTAATAAATAAAATAAACTAATAAATACCAAAAAGTGCCAATAATTATGAGAAAATACGATCATTTACACCAACAAATTCTTATTTAGTAAGCTATCAAAAGTCTTATTTTCCCTTAACAATATAGCATGTGCTCCTCACTTGATTTAATTTTGTAGAAAATGTTACGGTAGGACCAATTTGACGAATAATAAAGAGTTGATGAATCATTTGAACGAATAATTTAATTGAGGGACCAAAATGTAAATCGGGTATAAATTTTAGGACTATTTGAGTAATTTACCCAATAAATAAAATAAACTAATAAATACCAAAACGTGCCAATAATTATGAGAAAATACGATCGTTTACACCAACAAATACGTGGCGCTTTCTTATCCGTTCGATCAATAACCAACCTTGAAGATCCACATTCCAAAAAGAACCCAACTGCAGAAAGACACTGAATTTAACGGTGAATGGTCAAAATTGGTGCACTCTCCCAGAGAAGGCAGTTGTCGACAACTTTAAGACGGAAGAAATCTACTAACGACCCCCACGGGGTGAGAATTTAAGAGTCTTTGAAATGCACAAAAATCTGACACGCGCCTCCAACAAAGCAGCAAAGCGATACGAGTGGTGAGGTCAATGAGAAGAAAAGGGAAAGGAAGAAGAAGAAGTGAGTGTATTTAACACGTATGATGTTGTTTGTTTTACGAGCGTAATTTGTGAAAAGATTGCAACTTTTTAATAATTTTCTAAATTGGGTGCCTCCTTATTGCTGGCTGAAATGAATTCTATGCTTGTTTTCAGCTGAGGCATCTATAAATAGGCGAGGACGAGGGGAAGGTTAGGGCTACGCTGGCTGTGACATACATTTGGGAAGAAGAAGAAGAAGAAGAGAGGGGGGAGGAGGAGGGAGAGCAGAGCACGCTGTGGCTACTGGCGGGGCAAGGAGAACATCAAGAGTTGACTATGGATGCTACTAGTGAAGTCCATTCTGGTTCTAAAAAGCTTCATGATGAAGAAACTGCCGAAATCCCAGAAACCGCCCATCAGATTAGCACAGGTTTTCATTTCATTTTTTAAATTTTGTTTGTTCATGTCATTTACCTCCCTGTTTTTCATCTGGATTTATGTTGGATTGTTCTGTTTTGAAAATTCAATCATGTCGATGAAGGAAATGATTGTGGTAATGGTTGTTTTAAATCATTTTCCAAAACCCCAGAATGTATTTGAATTGAAAAGTGAAAGCATGCTATGTTTTTGTCTGGAATTGAGGCTGTCAATAGGGAAATGAATCGTTTTTCTAATTTTTTTGGTTCCTAATTTGAATTCATGAAATTATTGTTTTTGAATTGTGATTTCTAATAAACGAATGCTCAATGATTTCAAATAGCTCAGTGGCAGTGACATTGATATTGAAATTGCTTTCATTGTTTGTGAGCTCATCTTACCTCGTTGGTTTCCATAGATTCATGGTTTCAAGTGGGATTTGTCCTCACCACCGGTATCAACAGTGCGTATGTGCTGGGATACTCTGGAAATGTAATGATTCCTCTGGGTTGGATAGGCGGTGTAATCGGTCTAATTCTAGCCACTGCAATATCACTCTATGCAAATGCTCTTATTGCTAAGCTCCATGAATATGGTGGGGTTAGGCACATCAGATACAGAGATCTTGCAGGATTTATATATGGTAAAGTAAATGTATTGGTTGGATTCATTTCTTGAATATACCTTTCTTATTTCGTGGCTTATGCTTTCCCTGTTTTGTTTCCTGATGGGGGCTATTTGATTGCAGGCAAGAAAGCTTATTCACTTACATGGGGATTGCAATATGTCAATCTTTTCATGATTAACACGGGATTTATCATTTTGGCTGGTCAGGCCCTCAAGGTGAGATCAAATGAGGACATGGGATTGCATTTTTCTGTCACATTTGCATATTATATCCAATTAATCTTTTGCCAGTTCCAGTAGTTATAAGTTTCCTGCTTTTTTGTTTCCTTTAAATTGGACTATATGCATATGAACAGATTATGTCTTATTTTCCTAAAACTTGTAGCCGTTACATTTGCCATGTAGGCTGCGTATGTTCTGTTCAAGGATGACCACGTCATGAAGCTCCCGCATTTTATTGCCATTTCTGGCTTTGTTTGTGCAATATTTGCTATAGGGATACCACACTTGTCAGCTCTCAGGATTTGGCTGGGGTTTTCAACAGTCTTCAGCTTGATATATATTGTTATAGCATTCGTCTTGTCACTCCAAGATGGTAAGAATCATATTTCTTGAACAAGAGTTGTTTGCTTTGTTTAAAATGCCTGGAGTTATCATGCTTTGAGTTTAATTCGGAACATGCACATGCCATTTTCTTGTTCAATAAGTTTAAATTAAGAATTTGTAGTGCTTTGTTATAGGACTTCAAGCACCGGCCAGGAGTTATGACATCCCAGGGACAAAAATAAGCAGAATATTTACCACAATCGGAGCAGCTGCTAGCCTGGTCTTTGCATTCAACACAGGAATGCTACCAGAGATACAGGTACCTGGAATTAAAATCTTTAAAGTTTTCGGTTGCTTAGATGAGAAACTTCATGTGTATTTTTCCAAATTCACTTTGGTTTGGCTGTGTTTGTGTGACAGGCTACAGTGAGGAAACCAGTTGTTGAAAACATGATGAAGGCTCTGTACTTTCAGTTTACAGCTGGAGTTTTGCCACTGTATGCCGTTTGTTTTGTAGGGTATTGGGCATATGGAAATAAAACATCATCTTATTTGCTCAACAATGTCAGCGGGCCGATTTGGGTGAAGGCAATGGCCAATATTGCTGCCTTCCTGCAAACAGTCATTGCTTTGCATGTATGTCTTTTTTTTTTTTTTTGGTTTCTTTCAACCCCCGACTTTTTACTTTCTGAAAATCTCATATCAAGTTCTTATTGCTGCTTGTAGATATTTGCAAGTCCAATGTATGAGTATCTGGACACTAAGTTTGGTATTAAAGGAAGTCCATTGAAAATTCAGAACTTGACATTCAGAATTACTGTTAGAGGTGGCTACTTAGCCATTAACACACTGGTTTCAGCTCTTCTGCCATTCCTTGGAGATTTCATGAGCCTCACAGGAGCCATCAGCACTTTCCCTCTCACATTTATTCTTGCAAACCACATGTACCTGATGGCAAAGAAGGACAAACTCACTTCAGCGCAAAAGCTCTGGCATTGGCTAAATGTTGGTTTCTTTGCCCTTTTGGCCGTTGCAGCTTTAATCTCAGCCTTGAGGCTCATAGCAGTAGATTCTAAAACTTACCACGTATTTGCTGATCTATGATTAGGTTAGGTTTCCCTTTTTCATTTGATCCCACGAAATGTATTTCATTTACGTTTGGCAGTTAGGCCCCTGTCTTTTGTTGGTTGAAAGCTTAAGCATTTAATAGCATAGCTTAATTGTTCAAAGATTTGTTTCCTGCAGAGTCAAGTAGCATACATGACATCTTAACGCAGACGATATTATACCTGATAGGATAAAGATAAAATTTTATCACATCCAAAAAGTAAAATTTGCCCTCTTAGTATATATGTTTGATAATTAGTCCATGTACTGTACAAGGTTTATCAGAGTAAGAACAAAGAGTAGCAAAAACACCATCAGTTAATATTTTGGAAAGGTCAATACATTCGAAGCAATAATCCTTGAATAAATTTTGAGGGAATTTTTATTGCTAACAGATAGAAAAGTGAAAGGCAAGGAAGGATGAGAGACAGAGAGAGTGACGTTAAAATGCACAATTGATACATTGGCAAATAGTTTCCGAACAATGAGGTGCAAGAGCTATTTCAAAATTACAACAATCAAACAATATCAATCAACCTAATGCTTCAGCCTTCCAAGAAACCAGAGATCCATTTGGCAGATTTCCCATATCACTTTGATGAATCTTCAGAACCATCTGCAACCATTCAGAAAGAAAAGAAAATTTCAATGACATTATGAATAAAATTATGACATTAGCAGTTTTTACCCAGCACAGAAAAGAACTAAGCCAAGCTCAGGTCCCGAGTAAAAGAATGCTCTCATAGATATAATAGTGTTCCATTAGACTGAACATTAATCTAAGTGTTTCAACAATATTCCTGTGCACAATACAAAGGTAAGAACAACTTTGCAACCAGTTGCGGCTACTTGGTAGAATAATTGATATGAGATGCATACTTTCCTAATTAACCAAATTTTCACTTGTTCCGTCACCTTTATTATTGTAGAGTGAACGCAAAGTATGGCATTTTCATATGTTGTCAAAATACTATCGAATTATCAACTGCATAATACTACATCAAACCAGGAGATATTGGCTCAGGGCTGTGCATATAAAAATGTTAAGAGTTAACACATACACTTCACCAGAGTAGTAAAGAAACCAACCTGAGCAAAAGCTCAACAGTAAGTTTGTTTGGACAATATGATACTAGGGGAAAACAGAAGAATACAAAGAGTGTGGGTTTAGAACTTTGTACTAATCTTACAATATTTAACAAACAAATGCAAATAAGAAAAAAGAGAGGATATTATCCCGTAAACATAGAAATCTTTATCTTACCTAATTTTGCATCACCCAGATATCAATTTTAGAACAATGCAGACGGTATTGAGTAGTACGAGAGGAACTCTCAAGTACTGTGTTGCATAAATGAGACCTATAATCTGTCCTTTGACTGACTTTGTCCTGCCCACTGAGAATTCTGAGAGGCTCCATCCTCTAGGCGCAAGGAAGCGGTCCTCATTTAATATTGCTAGTGCATTTGCAAGAAGCAGAAAGCCTTCAAGTAGTGTCATCAAACCCATTTACCTGAAAAAAGAAGAATTTATTTCATATAAGCTACAAATGCCTCTGAGTTTTAGGCATTTAATCCCCATTCCCGATCCCCTCTTCAATCTAATATGTAAATGAGAAAAAGGAGAACAGTTCAACAACTTTTTCCGTGCAGCAGAAAATGAAAGCATAGAATGATTCTCCGGAGAAGTTAATTTCACATTTGTAATGAAGTTGCCATAGTTTCAAAGACATGCAGTCCTATTTGCATTTGTCAGTAAATGGACACGGGCAACTGCACCAAAGAGTATGAAAGTATCCAGGGATGAGTGTTTAAATGCAGCTGCCAAGTCATCAGCTATTCACTGATGGCTATGCAAGAGTCCACATCTATTTGTAGATGAAAATTCCACATAGCTTATAATACCTAAGTAGATATAGACCACGTAGGCGAATCATAGAGCACTTGTTTGTGCTTTCTCAGTTTCCTAACCTTCATGTGGAGAATATATAAAATTCCGGTGACGACTAGGACCTCAGTATCTAAAACATAGGACTGAAATGAACTCTTCCAGGCTGAATATTAACTAGATCTTTGATCAATCGGTTAGGTTATTGAGAATTTTTCATAAGTTGAAAACTAAGCTCCAATGACCAGCCTGATGACCCAGAAAACAACAACATTTTACACCAATTCTAAAATGAAAAAATAAAAACTAATAGCATTCTGCCACAAACAACAGTAACTTGGCCTTTTCCAAAAATGGGACAACCCCAGAGTACCACACTTGGCCTTTTCCAACAATCGGACGCAAAACCTAGCAACCTAGGAAATCGAATCCCCTCAAATAGCGCGGTAAACCTCAAAACATATGTAAATCTATGCGTAATAGATGAAAATCAAGAATACCCAAGTCAGATTGAAGATGTAAAAGCTTAAATATAAACCCGGGCAGCTTCAATGGAAGAAATGTTTCCAAGAACAACTCAGTTATTGAGAAATACATATTAAACTTACAAATTACCAATGTTATGGGAAATTGATAAAATACAAGTGCCATTTTAGAGATTGGGAAGGAAAATAAAAACCCACTAACCTGATGCTAGCACCTGATCTCAGAGAGACAGACTTGGATTGGAGGTGTAAATGGTGGCTAAAGCGAAGGCTTCACACAGCGAGACTACAGGAACAAGTAGAACGTGCGCTTCTTTTTTCTGCTTGCTTTTTCTTTCTTTTTAAAATTTCTGGTTTAGTGTTGGGCTGGATGAGCCTGCTGAATGTATATCCTTGTTTGGGCCAGCCAGCGCCTAGTAGTATTTGTCATAATTAGCCTTTTCTTTTTAATTTTATTTTTTCTTTACCCAAAAGAGGAAAAAGAAAATGGAAAAAGAAAAACCTTCTCATGTGTAATAATTTACAAAAGTTTAGACAAAAGTAGGGAACAGACTAAATTCGAATCTCCAACAGTCTTAAAAAATTCTGTAACCTTAGACTGCATCTCCCAATATGAGCTTCTCTTAGTTTTCTACCTATCTAAGATTCATCAAATGCACAAAGAACAGATATTTAAGGGAGAACCCATCTGCTGCTTCAGTACACTTTGTATGTACATGATTTGAGATAGCTACATTAGCTAAAGATATAATCTTTGCATGAATATCTACAGCTCGAGCCACACTTAAAACACCCTTCCTATTAACTTTCGTCTCCCTGTTTTGATCTTTTGGGTTGTTGTGGATGTTGAGTCTGAGCCACTAGACCTTTCACAAATGCAACCTGGAAAAGGATTTGCATAAAAGTTTTCCTCAAGTTTGGGCAAATTTCTGGAAATTCTGCGATATGGTCCTCCAATCCTATTTTCGTGTAACTTCTTAACCCAGGACGAGAATTTTTTCCAAGTTATCACGCCCTTGTCCAACTTATCAATCAATCTCACAAACCTTTGTCTGCAAGGCACATAAGTTTGAATATTAGAGAGAGCTTAAATGAAGATTTGGTTTAATATATTGGGCAATAGTTATGCTTACTTGTCAGGGCTGATTGTTTTCCTAAACCCTTCAAATCTTCTATGACCTTGGACTGCCTTGGCCATATTTCCATCATAAGAGTAGATGAAAACGTCACTCTCCACTGCTATAATATAGTCCAAGGCAGCAAGCTGATTGAGCTTGTCCTTGTATGGTTGTAGCTCTTCTTCAGTTGCTAAATTTGAGTGGAAAAATATATTAGGATACTTGTCTTGCACTGGTTTAAGCCCGTCTTGCCCATAAATCTCACCAGCCACTATGTATATTTTTGTATCTGAAGGAAACCCAATTGCTTCAAGGAACACAGAAACCTCTCTTGGGGTCATGGGGCATTGTCCTAAGTGTCTCTGCTCCGTGCCGTTGATCCTTTTATGCTTCCAATGCGGCGTCTGCTCCCTTATTGTTTCAAGCTCTCTATCCTCCTCTCTGGTAAGATTGTGACTGCAGCCTGTGAAAGAAAGCATGTCCTTTTCATATCTGCATGTACAAATATAATGTGCTTGTCACTGGTTAGAAAATTATACAGCAACAATATATGAAGGACACATTTTGTTGTCAAGTACATAGTCAATTTCTTGGACACACCTTAAATGGAGAGCAATGTATCTGCTACCATTGTTCTTTAATCTGTCAACCAACTTCATCCCGAGTTGTTCGATTTCAGCTGTGAATTTCAGAGCCTTAAACAAAACTCGGCAGCGGAGCCTCTGGATTGAGGTAGCAACATTGTTAGCAAGTCGGGAATCTGTGAGGGTGAATTTGAGCACCTGGTGCTTCTGCAATAATGAGACCATCTGTTGTTTATAGTAACTGGGCTGGTCACAAATTGTTACACATTGTTAGATTCAAATCCCATTGGTATGATTGAAAAAGGCTAAAAACAATCTTGACCATACCTTCGACCAAGAAACCGGAGCCTTAACCCGGGGCTTCACATCTGCAAGCTCTGGTGGGAGTGACTCTACAATTATGATGTCATCTCTTAAAACCTCCATGAAGTTCTTCCAGTTGAAAATTTCTTTAAAAACACTGAACAAATCAAATGCAAAAGAGAATGAAGGGATGTTAACTTTTCAACCACAATAGCCTAATCTAATATGGGCCAGTATAATTAACTAAGAATCCTAACCTCGGGTCGGTCCAAAAGGATTTGTGATCTAAAGAAGGGAGAACAAGAGTGGCATTCATAAGTTTTGCTACTGCAACCATGTCACCTATCTGCAAGTTCAATTTATTCAGAAGAAACCCAAGAAAGAAAAGTATGAAAGTCCCAAAACACAGAAGCTAGCTTAATTGGTTGCCTACCCCAAACTTCATTTGATTCAATCCACCATTGGCACGAATTAGGAGATAGCCATTTGTGGCTGTTCCATTCCCTGTTACAAATGAAACTAATAATTTAATTAAAACGATTCGTATTGTTTGTGATGACTAGTTTCCAACGTAGTATCACAAAAGATAATTCATTGGGGATGAAAACTTTCGGGACGTACGAAATTCCTTCTTCGATCGATTTAAGCATTGGTAATAATTAGCATTCTCTGGTGGCGCCCAAATATCACGAGTCTGACTAGCAGAAATCAAATAAAAGATGGGATCACAATCTCAGGTTACAAAAAAATGATACCCCAACTGTAAGAAGAATATCAAAGCCTTATCAGTAATAAAATGACAGATGATCCAAGTAAACCCAACTGCAACTTTGCAAGTGAGCATGCATCAATCTTGAGTCTAACATTAATATGAGCTAAGATTATTCAATACATAACAAATTTGTTCATATGGCATAGCAATATTTGGACTAAACTTATATATCTTTCTTAACCTTCATGACTGGATAAAAAATGCAGAAAAAAATAACAATCTGACCTGGAACCTTCCTGTATTTGAGTCAAATAATTGCTGCCACCTTCACTGACCATGTTTTGTTGCATTGTTGATGATGTCCCTGGTCGAATGAAACCTATTGTTTCCATCATCCTCAATTCCGGAAACGTACTGAGCAAAGCAAACTTGGCCAGCACTGACACAAAAGCTAACACCATCAAAACCATGGAAGCCCATCTGCACCACCCTCTTGAGAATTCAGACAACCTGCGCACTCTACGGCGAAAAAAGACGGCATTAACGTTGGCGTCATCGGACTTGACAGGAGTATCTTGTTCTTCTATGGCTTCATGCACACGTCTCCTTGACCTGGTGCATGAGTTGTGATGATCAGCAGCAGAGTTTGACATGGAGAAAGAAACAGAGAAACAGAGGAGATGCAGAGTAATGGGATATAGAAGCTTGAAAGAGAGAGAGGGAACGTGGGAGGAGATTAAAGTTTAGTTAGTGGGTGGAGGTGGAGGAGGTAACGGCCTGTGTTAGTGTTACAAAGTTTGTGAATTCAATTCGTTTTTATTTTATTTAATGGGTCTAGAATTTAAAGTGGGGGCGGATTATAAGGCGGATGAGGCTCTGTGTTTGTGATGTTATTGGCTATATATATATAATTTGTGTTGGTAATTCAAAACTTAAACAGAGCAAGCACCACATATTATCCAAACAAAACCCCCAACGTACACAAGAAATGTTGATGGTGTTCCACCTGCACCAAACAATCTTTCTTTCTTTTTTCTTTTTTGGTTATTTTGGAATGAATTACCATAAATACAAAGGTTTTCTAAACCTGAAAACACTTGTCTACAAGTCAAGACCATTTTCCAATAGACTAGATCCCGTTGACTTATAAACATGTTTACTCACCATATTTTCTACAAAGTCGGAACCTACTTGACATAAGCATAATGAATAGATATGATACAAAAAACATTATTTGAATACTTTGAACATAAATCTCTTACACTAGTATCCCTAACTTCAGCTATAAATCTATAAAGGAAATTTTTTTTTTTTCAATCATCGGGGAGGGAAAATTTGAATTTAGGATATCTTCCAAGCTGAGAAGAAAAATAACACTAGACCATGAAGCATGATCATTTATAAATAATAATAATAATAATAATAAAAAAATCAAAATACAAAAGCTTTCAGATTTGGGTTGGGCTAGGATCCGAAATGCTTAATTGGACTCATAGATACTTACTTGGGCCTTCTTATAATCGATAGTGGGTTACATACCCATAACAAGGCCCATCTACAAAATCACTCCCTTTTATATAAATACCGTAATCTTCTTGCAAACCAAACTAGGGTTTTAGTGCTTCTTCTACGCAGGCGTCTGTGGTTGCTTACTGGTAGAGGCATAAACCCCAAAACGCAAAAATGGTGAAGGAACGCCAAGGAGAACGAATTAGGTAATTGATCCATTGATTGCCTCCCCCAAAACCCTAATTTCTGGAAATGTTAATCCGATTACATGTATCAGATTTGTAATACTTTCACTCTAATGTCTTATATCAGACTCTACGTCGGGGGCACCGTTCTCGGATACAAAAGGTAATTGATTTTGTATTGTGCTTTTTATTAATGTTTGGCTGCAATTGTTTTTCTACTGATAAATCCATAAAATTGAAGAAGATTTGATTTTGTTCTTCGGTTGTGAGCTAAATGGAGACTAGGGTTTGAGCTGACTGATTGTTTTGGTTAGGTCTAAGTCGAATCAATACCCTAGCACCTCCTTGATTCAGATCAATGGAGTGAACACCAAAGAGGAGGTGGCATGGTACGCTGGAAAGCGCTTGGCGTACATCTACAAGGCCAAGGTGAAGAAGAATGGGAGCCACTACCGCTGCATTTGGGGCAAGGTTTCCAGGCCTCATGGTAACAGTGGCATCGTTCGTGCTAAGTTCACTTCCAATTTGCCACCCAAATCCATGGTATTGTGTTATATTAAAAATGTTAGTGTGCTATATGTGTAGTAGTCTTTTATCAATGCCATTTCTGATTGTGTTTTTTTTTTGTGCTTCCTTTGTAGGGTGCTCGTGTTAGGGTATTCATGTATCCCAGCAATATATAAGGTACTTTTTCTTTGAGTTTTGTTTTGCTTTGATTTTTAGTTCTACGGTTATTTGTATGCAGTGTATGTTGTGCATGGCTGTTTGTATTTGAAGTTTTGATTTAGCATTGTAAGATTTGCTGGATTTGCCTCATACAATGTGGATGAATATGCTACTTCAGCATGTGTTTTTGTCTTTTATTGTTGCACAACACATGTCTGTGTTTTTGTGAAATTGAGTTTTTGCAGTTTCATTATGGAGAATGCAATAGTTTTGTTGTGCCTTGTGTTCAATGTT